AAAGTGAAATATGGAAACAATGCTACTGGAGAACTAAAGGGAAATAGCATGATAACTAATTGGGAATTCACAATTCAAAAGGTAGCTTATGTTGAAGGTTTACAACACAATCTAATTAGCATTTCTCAGTTGATTGTAGGTATAGGTCTCAAAGTATCTTTAGATGAAGAAGGTTCAAAAATCATACAAAAGGAATCTAAAACAGTTCTTCTAAAGTCAAAAAGGAAAGGAGAAATCTATCCTCTCAATCTAAATCCGATTCAATGGAAGCCAAGTGTTTGTTTGCTTATGAAAGCGTCTGCGGATGATAGTTGGTTGAGGCATAGGAGGCTTTCTCACCTGAACTTCAAGGATATCAACAAGTTTGTAATTGGTGATCTAGTTTGAGGACTTCCTCTTCTAAAATTTTAAAAGGAACACTTATGTGTTTCATGTGAACTCGGAAAACAAAGAAGAAATAGTGATTCTTCCATAATGAGTACCAAGATCATTGAACCACCGGAGTTAATGCATATAGGTCTTTGTGGTCCATCAGCTATTGAATGCATTGGTGGTAACAAATACATTTCGGTTATTGTAGATGATTTTTCTCGATTTACTTGGGTATTCTTTCTTAAGTAGAAATCCGAAGCGACTCAGAAGTTATTTGATTTCATCAAGTAAGTTGAGCTACAATTGTGAATGCTAGTTCAGAAAATTTGAAGTGATAACGGTTCAAAATTGAAAAATCATGCATTTGAATAATTCTTGACAAGCAAAGGAATTTTTCACAATTTATATTTGCGTTACACTCCATGGTAGAATGGTGTAGTTGAAAGATGAAGTCATTCAATCTGTGAAGCTGTGAGGATAATGCTCTCATTTGGGAATCTTCCTTCATATTTATGGGTTGATGTTATTGCCACTTCTTGTTTTACTCATAATCGCCCATACATTAACAAACGTTTTCTGATTACTCGTTATGAAATTTTGAACAATCTAAAGCCTAACGTTAAATTATTTCATATGTTTGGATCGAGATGCTTTTTATTCAATTCAAAAGAACATCGAAACAAATTTGATATGAAAGTTGATGAAGGAATCTTTTTGGGATACTCATTGACATCCAAGGTGTATCGTGTTATGAACAAGAAATCAAAGAAGATATAAGAAAGTTATTATATTATGTTAGATGACAATTACATAAAGAAATATCAAAAGGAAGATTGTCAAACTAAAGAAATTTTCCATCAACAAATTCTAAGATTATTCCTCTTATGAATCTATATGAGGATTTTCTAAATTTGTTGAATGAACCTGAAAGAACACTTTCTTCGGAATCAAATGCCAAGGATAATAATGAGGATGAACTACTAAATATTGTTGATGAAGTTGTTGAAGTGATAGAGACTCGTAACGAGCAACCTGTTTAGAATACAGCTGAATTACCAACTCAATCGGAACCTCATGATACTCCATTCCAGGGGAGAGTTCAACTCCAAATATTGATTCAGGTGCTCAACTCCAAGGGGAGAGTTCAAATCTGAGTGATGGTTCAAGTGCAAATTTCCATGGGGGAGAAAAATGAAAATAATGAATCGGATGCTCAATCAGATTTTGAAGAATTCGTAGCTGATATTGATCCGGATTACAATCAAAATTTCCCACCACTAACAAAATGGACTAAAGATCATCCACAATCTCAAGTGATCAAAGATACTTTTTCATGGGTTCTCACACGTGCTCAACAAAAAGAGAAGCAAACTGCTTTATTTTCTAAAATGTAATTTTGCATGTTTAATTCTTTTATTTCAAAAATATAACCTAAAACCATTAAAATTGCTCTTGATGATGCAGATTAGGTTCATGCAATGCAAGAAGAACTTAATGAATTTGATAGGAACAAAGTTTGGAGATTGATTCTTACTCCAGAAAATGCATCCGTGGTTAGTCTAAAATGGTATTCAGAAACAAGATGGACAAAGAAGGGAATGTTATTCGAAATAAAGCACGCCTAGTCGTCAAAGTATATTGTTAAGAAAAAGGTATCGATTATAAAGAGATGTTTTCTCCTATGGCTAGACTTGAATCATTTCGCATATTTCTAACTTATGTTGCTCAAAAAAACTTTGAAGTATTTCAAATGGATCTGAAGTGTGCATTTCCTAAACGTGGAACTTGAAGAAATAGTCTACATTGAAGAACCATCAAGTTTTGTGAATGACAAAATTCCGAATCAATGTTATATTATGGGCAAAGTTGTATATGGTCTTAAACAAGCTCCACGAGCATGGTATGAAACTCTAAATCGTTAAAACAGTCTAAATTCGAAAAAGGTTCTGTTGATCCTACCTTCTTTTGAAAGAAATATGGTGACCATTTAATGATAATTGAAATTTATGTTGATTATATTATTTTGTTATCCACTATTCCCAACTTAACTGCTGAATTTGAAATGAGTTCAATGGGTCCAATTAACTTTTTCTTTGGTTTAAATGCATGATAAGTTCGGAGGGAATATTCATCAATCAAGAAGTTTAATAATGACATTACTAGCCAAGTTTGGAATGATGGGTGATTCAAAAGTCAAAGTTCCAATGATGTTTGGAACAAAACTCACTCCTTTACTTGACAAAGCTGCAACGGATATTACATTGTTTTGTCAGATGATCGGATCTTTATTGTATCTAACATCTAGTCATCCAGACATAATGTTTGTTGTTCGTTACCATGTTAGGTTTCAAGCAAATCCTCGAGAAACTCACTTGATGGCTATAAGGAACAAATTCTAATATCCGAAATGAACAACCTCACTAGGTTTATGGTATCCATCAAATTCAGGATTCTTTGTGCAGGCCTATTCGAATGCTGACTTACGTGGTTGTGGCCTTGATCGAAAAAACACATAAGGAGGATGACAATTTCTGGATGGAAAGCTTGTCAGCTGGCAGCCCAAGAAGCAAACATGTGTGTCCTTATCCACATCTGAAGCATAATATATTTCATCGGCATCATGCACATCACAAGTGGTATGGATTCATAATCAACTAAGATACTATAAAATTAATATGAAACGAATTCCTTAGTATTGTGATTTCGAAAGTACCATTCGAATATCTCGCAATCTATTGCAGCATTCCAAAAAAACATATTGCACTTCGATACCACTTTATAAAGGACCATGTTGAAGATGGGAATGTGGAAGATCACTTTGACTGATCCTCAGATGAGTTAGTTAATATCTTCACAACAACCATACCAGAAGTATCATTCAATCAGATCATCCAAGGATTGGGAATGATTGAAGCTAACTCTATTCTGAAATCAATATCGTCATCAATCATGTTACTATACACTTCTGAATGGTTCCGATACTTAAAAGTTGTTGGATTCCACAGTTCACTTCCGAATTGTTCCGATCTTTAGAGTAGGTCTGAAGTAACTATTCACTCAGATTTCGGTATCTATTATCTTTGTAAGTCTATTGTCATTTATTTCTTAAATCAAAAATACAAAGTTATTTTTCTTTATTTTTGTCTTATTTTTTTACAAAATCAAATTTCGAAAAATATTTTATTCGTTTTTGTATTTGCTTTTCAGAAATTCAAAAATCCCACAAATATTTTTTATTTCAGTATTTTGAAAAATCAAAAATATCAAAAATATTTTATTTTCAAGGAATTGATGGTTATCATCATAACTTCTTTCCACCATATTTTATCATGACTTCCATGTAGTCCCTTGACTATCGGAACAAAAAGAGTTTCGGTATAGGGCTACAAAATTCTTGTTATCGATCGCAAAATCATTACTACCATGATTTTCATGAAACTCCCAACCATTCGACTCCGAATCTATTATTCTGCATCTATTTCATATTCATAATCATAACCCTTCAGACTCTCAGGTTTTACCCATGAGGTTTAGGTTGCACACTATCTGTGTTTATTATCTTGAAATTGTTATTCCTATGATTTCGAGTGAAACCTAAATACAATTCCCTTTTCTAAATTGATGGTGAACAATGTATTGTTCTAGTTTTTAACCACTGAATTTATGGTGAACAATTTATTGTTCTAGTTATTTTAACCACTCAATTAACGGATAAAACCTTTTTTATTTGTACCTTTGAATTTTCAAAATCTTTTTTTTTCTTTGAGTGGTCTTAACAAAATGTTCTTGTCCCAAGTCATTTCATCCCATAAGATCCAGGTTTTTAAATTTTTATTTAAAACTAAGATTTCCGAATGAACATTTTTATTTCCGAAACACCAAGTTATTTCACAGAATATCCAATCCTTACTTGTTTTTATGGCTACATCGGTCAAACAAATACTTCCTTCAGATCTTTGTACATATGTTTAGTTTTGAAATTTGTTGGAAGATGAAACCACCCATCAAGCATTATAAAAGAAGCCTTTCATAGTTTCTCAACAAACTTATGATCTTAATTCAATCTCTTGACTCGGAAGGAAGAGATCGTTTCCCGGGATCCAACTGTTTTTCATATCAAACATGGTTGATATCACAAATCCCACACTTTGAATTTTGTTAATTTGTTTTCTTTGGCACACTCTTGCACTAAAATCCTTGTGATTTTACAAAGTCTATTTTTGGTTCTGATTAATCATTTAATTTCTAAAGAACGAATCTTGGTCGTAATTCTAATGGATATTATTCTAGCTTATGCAAAGCTAGAAGTTAGATCCATGATTCTGAAAGTGGTGAATCCGAAAAGTCATTGTATAGGTCATGGAAAATTCAAGTCATGACGTGTCTTTTGAATTTCTATGACATAAGAATGATTGTTATAATGGAAAATGACAAAGGAATAATGAGTTGGCAGATTCGTATTGTCTTATTTTTTGGCGCTATGGGATCGTGAAATGAAGGTTTCTCTCTCCACTCATCATCTTTGATATAAAATTATCTCAACCGGTTCATTATCTCTTACTGCGAACATTTTTCAAGTCTATTCACGCAAAAACTCTCTACTATTCATCTTCTTCTTCGCTGTGACAATGGCTTCCTATGAGAATGTTTCTTTTGCGGATCAATTAGCATCAGTGATAATGTTGAACATCAAACACAACCAAAATTGCATAGTTGACCTTGACGCATCTCGCTATAACGCTCTGATTATGCCTTTAATCGAGCATCTTAGATTTTCTCCATTGATGAAGGCGATGAGAATGCATGACAATGTTTCTCTTGTTCATTTGTACAAAGCTTATTCAACGTCCATCTACATCAAGACCGAGGAAATCATTAACCTTGAAGTTTCAAGCTATAGAAATTTAATCACGAAAGCCCATTTCTACAAACTTTTAGGTCTTTTATCATCTGACGTAGGTGTTGATCCTGACTCCATTACGGAAACAAGCATGATCGAGATGTTCTATCAGATGGGTTATACATTTGACATTTCCTTACTGTCAAATTTCCAGAAAACTTTCTTGTCTCTTATCTGGAACAACTTATTTTTTGTTCAAGAGTCTATCCGAGAGGGTTTTGGGCTCTGATAGTGCGAGAAAGTTTTTTTACACGTTGATATATGGGTTATACAATGGTTTAAACATGGATTTTGGGTCTATGATATGGGCTCACTTTGTTCAAAGTACCAGCTCCACCACTCGTGATACAAAAATATTTTGTGCTTGTTTTTAGTCCATCATTGTCAAACGAGCTCTTCTTAACTACAACATTCCGCAAATGACATATTCTCTAATGAATGACATTCCAAAGCTCCAGACCACCACTTTTATTATATAAGATCCTTGAAATTTTAAATTTATTGGATCCATTCCGGAAGTTATGTTGGAAAGAGTTCATGTGAACAGTTCTATTATTACGGCTTATCAAAAATTTCCCTCATCTAGTGTTCGTCCGATCCTTGCTGAATTGATGAAGATTATCGACGTAGGTGATTTATGTAAACATGGTGGTAAAAAAATCAAAGGTCGATCCTTCCGTAGGAGAAAGTGTTTCTAAGAAATACAAGAATCTGGTTCAGAAGTCAAGGTCTCCATCTCTGGTGATACAAGATGACTCAGACGAAAGAACTAAATCAGAAGTTCATGGAGATAATGTTTTCCAAAACAATGAAGAAGATACTTCTCATACTTTTGAACCACCCACTTTCGAAATGCTTGTCAAGGTATCTTCTCCTCCATCATCTTCTATTCTACAATCCAACATTTTTTATTCCATAATGAAAGAACCATTTATTAATCTCACCACTCGTCCTTGTCCACCTCCATTCAATCCACCAACCTTACTCATGAATACCTCACCTCTTACTACATCTATTCCGATATCATCCATTCCTATACTACTAAAGATGAGTTCTGTTGAAACATCTCAACCTCAAATTTCAATTGCATTTCCAAACCCAATTTTCGCAGACTCAACCATTCCTTCAACCTAACTGTCACAACTCCACAAGAAGTTCCTATTATCAAGTCCATTTCGGATGCTATTAGGACTTCAAGCATCCTTAGTAACACATCTGATGTGGGGCTAAATGCCACGATTGGCGTGTCATCGGAACCAACTTCTTCTTCTATTCGACCTCTAAATGAGGATGTCGATATACTATTTGGGGACGATCAAGAACACATTGACGACTTTGTCTTCCAACCCTTTACTATCAACATCGATAGTGATGATGAGGACTCCCCAATGACTAAAGGTCAATACAAACAGCTGAATAAAAAGCTTAACTCCATTCTTGAGCATACTAATTCTTTTTCTTCCACAAAATTTGAAGATCGGAAGGCTGAGTATGAGAGCAACGATGAGTAGGTTGAGATTTTTGTATTTGATACTTATGATGTATTTTGATACACTTTATATATGTTTTTTTATTTGTGTATATATGATTTATGTTTTATAGTTTATATATCCCCAATTCAGTCGATGTATTGGTTTAGTCAAGACAAAACATAGTTGATCTGGCTATGTTTAGGAGTGACTCAACGTTTACATGTTGAACCATCCTGGATATCTGTTTTATTTTTAAATTTGTATTCATTAATCGAGATTAGAGATTATTAGTGTTTTATTAGTAATACTTGTATATATAGGTCTCAGGACAAATCTGTTCTGAAATCCAACAACCCAAGATGATAGTTCCAACCCAAGGCACCTCTACAATACTTAATCTATCGGTAGGGTAATTATTAGTAATACTTGTATATATAGGTCTGAGGATAAATCTGATAGGAGTATATGTCTTAAGATATAGTTGTAATTCCTAAAGAAATACAAATTCGCTATAGTACCTAGCTATGATACCAATCTATCACACCCTCCCTGACTGATGGCGGAAAATGCCAAGTGGTGACGGTATAAAGATTTCCCAAATCACTCTGAACCGATCATAAGTACATATCTAAACAAAAATCTACAATTCTTCATGGTGATAATCCTTCCTTGACTTGATCTCTACTCCATCCAAGGAACACACGCGATTTTTGAAAATGTCAACTTGATGTAGGTGAGTGCACAACTTTTTAAAGTTTTTGGTTTTTTTCTTGGTTGTATAATTTAAGAATCTTTTTTCTTTTAGAAAAACCTTTCCTGGTCTATTTTATCAACCATGTCTTACTATCTTTTAGGATATTTGATGATCCTATATTATTATCTTTTTAGGATATATTTATTAATCCTAATTTACTATCTTTATAGGATAACGATCCTTTCTTATTATATCTTGGGATATCTATCGATCATATCTTATTATCTCTAGGATATCTATCGATCCTATCTTATTATCTGTTAGGACATTTATTAATCCTAACATATTTTATCCACATTTCTAAGTTACCCCTAATGGTATTCTGGTCTCTAAGGTAATCTAATGTATTACCGTGAGCCCTCATAATCGATGTTGTTTGACTAATAATTTACCCTGCCACGACACTTCATTGGACATAGAGTAGTGAATAATAAGAAAGTTATATTATCAGGATTATAGCTACCAATCGTAGGTGGGGTTGTTAGACCCTGTATAGATGTATACATATCTTCATAGCTTTCACTAGATTAATGACTATAAGTATTGGAGAATGCCAAATTTAGTCAAGGCCTTTGGATGAATATTAACAGCTCACTACTTCATTGACCTTAGGTATTTATCTTTTATCTTGATCCTTCCTATGGATTTTCTATCATTGTCACAATATAAATCTTTTATCTTATGTTTGATACTTATAACTTTTAATCACATAGTTATTTTGTATATATAAGAATTCACATATATATATATATATATATATATATATATATATATATATATATATATATATATATATATATACCCTAATTATGGTTATTTGAAAACAAGATATTTAGGCAGAGTTACAAATAGGTACGGTGCATATCCCTACATTTGACCAACATAACTTCAAGGTACTATATTATCCTAATGATTTGGTCATTATAACATCTAGGTATTATCTCTTCCTAGAGTATTGGGCATCACAATCTTAGGTATAATATCATAACTTACAACTAGGCATAGTATCTATATCTACATTATGCTGAGACTTTAATCTTTATAAAATGTTTTGATATTTATAGATATAAATTTATTTTGATAAAACCATTTGATAAGCATGTATTCCCCTACCCCTATCCTCTATAGAACATTTAAATAGTAAAATAAGGGTTGTGAACTTATTCTTGTGGTGTACTCCAAAGCATCCGAGCCATTACATCTGAAGCTTCGCGCCATCAAGTGGGCATCTGAATCAGTTTAACTGGTAAATAAATAGTGTTTGGGATGAGAAAATTAGAAAGTGAGCACCTCCATTTATAGGGGTTGTGCGCGTAGTTCAATTCATGTGCGGAGTACACTCGCTTTGTGGCTCCATCTAGAGCTTACCACGTGTCACAAGTTGATGGTCAACATCTCCCTAATCTTCGACAAATCTGGGTGTTAGGTGTGCACGAACAAGCATGTTGCACACTTGCCTTGCACCCCTAAATCTTTTATAAAAATTTGTATCTTCATTATATGAATCTTGCTTCTTACCCTCTTTATATATTTGTGTATCTCTTTATTAGTACTACAAATTTTGTTTTTAACCCGTATTTTATGTTTTTCTAAAAATCATATCTCCTTCATATGAACTCCATTTTTGACCTTTTTCCTTTCAAATTCCTTATCTTACGGATTACTATGATTTTCCTTTTAGTGATGTTATCCAAAACTCAACTAATCTCTATACTGCTATTTTGACGTTAATAGCGTTATTAATGCGGTTGTTTTTTATATTTTATAAAATCATAACTCCTCGAATCAGAGTCATATTTTTGCAACACTTATATCTTTGAGATCACTTTGTTGTTTACTTTCCAAATACACTAATCTTTCCAAATACTTTCCAAATACACTAATCTGTCCAAATACTCTCCAAATAGACAAACAGTCGTTAAAATTGATATAAATTTTTGGTCACTCACTTTTGACCCTATTATTATCATTTAACTGATCATATTTTCCTTCAATATGAAAAGTTCTATCATTATCGTCGGTTGATGCAAATCTTTAGTGACAATTGGTGACGGCAAATTCCTAATTGTCATAGACACAATTTAAAAATTCGAAAAAAAAATTGATAAGTTAGAAGGAAACAACTCTCATTGTTTGCAGAAGAAGATGAATTTTTTCTCACCAATTTGAATTTTGTTCATGTTTTGAGTACCCGTGCTCCAGAATCCCAAGAGAATGAAACACTAAAACACACCAGAAAACGATGGAACTGGGAAAACAAAGAATATATATGTCGTGGTCACATCTTGAATGGTATATCTGAGTCCCTCTTTGACATTTATCAAATCATGAATCATCAAAAGATTTGTGGGACACCTTTGAATACAAAAAAAAATGGTAGATGATGGATGAAGTATGAATTTTTTGGTTAGTAATTTAATAATTATCAAATGGTGGATTCGAGATGTGTCATGGAATAGTACAATGAACTCATGAGTATTCTAGGACAATTTCAACAACACAAGATGAAAATTGATGAATCCATATTTGTCTCAAGTGTCATTCATAAATTTCCCCAATCCTAGAAAGATCTCAATCACACACTAAAGCACCAAAAATAAGAGTTCTTTCTAGTGCAACATAGCAGCCACTTGCATATTAAACCACAATTAGGTCAAAACTTTACTTTTGGAAAAACTGCTTTTCCTATACATATACATATATATATATATATATATATATATATATATAAAATATATCATGTAACACTAATTCCTGAGGCATTTTATGTGTACAATGACGATTATGCTTGCTATAATGATTCGATGGGGCTAAATCATGTATGTAGGGATCGCTACTGGTTTAAGGATTATAAAGTAGTATATGATGTTTTAATGCTATATATGGGAGACCATAATGAAGAATTTGTTATTAGTCATGGTTTTGTGTATTTCTTATTGATTTCTAGGAAAAAGTCTTTATCTTAGTAATGTAATACATGTTCTTAAGATCAGAAAGAACTTGGTGTGTGGTGGTGTTTTAAATAAATGTGATTATAGACAAGTTTATGAGTTTTATAAGTATATCTTATCAAAGTTTGGTACATTTTTCGGATTTGGGTATTTCATCTGTGGCATGTTTAAGTTCAATTTAAATAACAATGTTACAGATTCTACATATGGCTTGTTGAGTAATTATGAATCTTCCCTTTGGAATGCTCATTTAGTACATGTACATTATGAAAGAGTGCTTGAAATATCTAAAAATGGTTTAATTCCATAGCTTGATGTTTAACATAGAGAAGTGTAAAATATGCATATTAACTCAAATAACTTGACAACCAATTTCAAATATAAAAAGAAATGATATGATGCTTGAATTAATACATAGTGATTTATGTGATTTCATGAAACTCCATCAATGGGTAATAAGATATAAATAGTCACTTTTATTTAAGATTATTCTATTTTTTATATGTGTACTTGTTACAGTCTAAGGATGAAGCCTTAGATAAATTCAAATTTTATAAAACTAAAGTTGAGTTGTACAAAATGACTTAATCATAAACTTCATACTGATAGATGTGGTGAGTATTCTGATCCTAGTGATTTCCAATATATAGGAATCATTCATGAAAATACATCTCCAAATACTCCTCAACAAAATTGTATATCGGAAAGGAAAATATAGTTCTTAAAGAAATGGTGAACTATGTTTTGTCATACTCAGGTTTGAGTGACGAATTCTAGGGAGAAACTATGATAACAGCTTATTATCGTTTAAATAGAGTTCCAATTAAGAGGAACAAGATAAATCCCTATGAATTGTGGTACAAAATAAAACCAAACTTGGGATATTTGAAAGTTTGGGGTAATTGAGTAGTTGTTTGACTGACTGAACCTAAAATAAAAAATTAGGTAAAAAATATA